CTCCGGGGATGGCAGAACTACAGCTTAAGGCAGTTGAGGTCTCTTTCCTTTTGACCTAGAAGCCAAGGTCAAATCACCCTCATTGCTGGGAGAAGCCTGTCTACTTCTCTGTATGAGACAACATGGCATATTACTTATGAAGAAAGGAAAGAAAACCACAAAGTTTACAATTTAAAACCCAGAATAACTTCCTGTTCTTGAATTATGTCAGCTCTGTGAACTAAAGCCAATCAGGTACCAGCCTGCATTATGCTCGCAGCGCAGTCAGAAATGTTTGGGTAGATCCCTTCTGAGAGTGATACAAGAATAACCAGTCACAACATTTTAAATAAGGGAAGATACAAAGGTAGCACAAAACTGCCCCAGTGAGAGACCAGATCTTCAGAGTTGTCCTGGGTATATCAGTCATAATAAGCTGCTGCTTATTAACATTTTTTTGGAAGAAAAGCTTTCTCACTAGGTATCCTCTGTGCTCCTGTGAGCCCCTGAATGAGAAGGCAAATGTCAGAAATATATCACAAAATGTTCAGACAAGAATTGCTGAAGGTAAGGAAGCAGCAGTAATTTATTATCACAAGCTATTTCCTTTACAATGATCAGAAAACAAGAATTTTGGTCTGGGCTCTGAAAACCAGTAAAGGAAAAAAAGATGAACCCACCGAAGATTTTTTTTGTTCAAGATCTTTCTTGGCTTCATAGCACAAGTCTTTGGCATGTAAAAGTTAGAGGTGGTTGGCCATACTTTTGCTGCTTTTGCACTGATAGATTCTACATGACTTTGAAGTATGCATTTATTAATTGCATACATGCAAATAAATTCACATACATATATTTGAGTGCTTTTTTGAAGGTATATTTGTTTCTTTTTATTTGAATGGCTACATAGTTCAAACAGTTGTAGATGGAGAAGGTCTAACTGGGGTGAACGTTAAATGACCATGCACATCATGGAATCTTTCTCAGACTAATGACAAAGTATTTATGATTTTTTTTTAAGAGCCTGATAGTAAATACTCCGCAATGAATTTTGAATGTTGAAGCAACACTGACCTTACTATAATACTCTATTATTGCAACTTTGCTCCGCAGTCAGGTGGCATGCTTTAGTGTGAAGTGTCCCTGCCCATGGCAGGGGGGTTGGAACTAGATGATCTTAATGTCCTTTCCAACCCTAACTATTCTATGATTCTATGATATACTTCAGGGCAAATCAGGAAGTGCACAAATTAGATTCTACTCTATCAGAATCAATTCATCATGCATATATCACAGCCTGATGATATCGCTATAAGATTAATAACCACAACATTAAATTAGAATTTACATTTATCAGTGTAACAATAATTGTGCAGTCATCCCAGATTTTTATTTTGATTTTTTGGTTTGATCACATCCAGTTTTCAACAAGGGCCAGGGCATACATTGTGTGCTCTATATCATGGGATATCTTAAGGTAGAGGAATAAAATATTTTATGAAATGTCCACTTCCTCTACTCTCCATTTGTACTTTATTTTAAAAATCTGCAAGCTAAACAAGTGAGCACCACCACCTACTATACTTACACAAAGCCAGTATAGCCTATGATTTATAAATTATGACATATGTCAATATTAGACTTCAAACGACTCATAGTGATTGAAGAACTAGTGTGGAAAGCATTATAAGAATAAATTATTTTGCAATTATATTACTTAATAGCTACAGGGAAATATCTATGTCTAGTGTTAATCTTTTAAAGATGAAGAAAATGAAGAGAAGTATAGGCATAAGTGTACAATGGATCAAGTTAATTTTTGAAGCAAGTCTAATGAAGTTAAAAGACTACAAACTAGGAATTTAGTTAATTGAATAGAGTGGTCAAGCAGTGTTGCATGGTTATGATGCGCTCTTACTTCTAATAATTACTTTTGAGGATAAATACACTTGTCTGTAAAACTAGATGTATGCATTAAGGGAGACAAAGGGAGTAAGCTGGAAAAGATTGGAAATGATAGTCAGCGGATTAAGAGCTGTGTTCAGAAGGATAACAGCCTTTTTCCTGGGCTCCCCACACCTTCTGCAACAGGTATTTCATACATAACATACCAATGTGGGAGACTGCACACAATAACTGCATTTTCACAGATTTCTTAACCAGTACAGTAATTCTCCTGCTGAACTGGATGTTTAAAGTAATATTTTGAAAGGAGAGCAGCTCGAGCTATTTCAGATGAGACTGAGAGATGAGAGCAATATAAAACTTGGTTAAACCAGACAACTAAAAATAACCATTCTGAAGTGTAGTGTTAGCACAGTGCTAATAAAATCAATGCATTTGCAAAATCCCGCTTTGAATTTTTGAAGCTACAAAAAAGGCTCCATGAAGTTTTTTTTTTTCAATTCTAACAGCTTCTAACAAAAGCCTTTCACAGAAACTAAATTAGAAAGACTCAACTGATGAAACTTTCAAGATTAAACTTTGCCTTCTCACAAAAGTATGATTAAATTGAACAATCTGCTACCTGAAACTCAGAACACACCCATGCAAAAAAGGCTAGTGACAGACCCAAAAAGGACTTGATATTTTTCCTTGGAATCTGTGTGTTGGCAGAGCACTTCTGCTTTTTATGCTTACATCAAGTCCTTTATTTATAAGAAATAGATAAATTTCCCAACAATTTTCTATTTTTTTTTTGCTTAAGTTATAACTTTACTTTGATTCCAATCTCTTTCTTTGGCTCTTCCTCTGTTAATTTAAAATTTCTTCCCATCTGTGGTGTTTAATAATTAAGTTTTTCCTTTCAGATATTTTATAGATCGCAAAAGAAAAGAGAAAGGAATAGCTTTCCAGAGTGACTACCAGGAGAGACTATGCTGTCCGTCATCACATTTGCAATACACAAAAAATGCACGCCAATTATTTTTTTGGCTGGACATACAGTCTGTTCCTATGCCCAAGAAATGGAAATTACCTTTGGTGCAGGCTGTGAAAGATATTAGTGTTTCCCTTACAAATCCACTTTTTGGGTATAATGTATAACTTCTCAGTTGTGCATTTGCTGAAACATAGCATCCTTGTTTTCTTCTAGGAATGTATTTTTAAACAGACTTTCCCTGGATGTCATTGGATTAGGAAGTCAGTACCCCCAGTTAGGGGCAAGTGATTATCTATCATCCTTCTTTGCTTCCATTTTTGTGTAGTAATCAAGTCACATTTTTAAGGGCTTGTGGTTTAACCCCAGTGGGCAACTAAGAGCTAAGCCCCACATAGCTGCGCACTCACCTTCCCTTGGTGGGATGGGGGAAGGTCAAAAGAGAAAACTCATGGATTCAGATAAAGGCAGTTTATAGGTAAAGCAAAAGCTGTGCACACAAACAAAGCGAGGAATTCATTTGCTGCTTCCCATCAGCTGGCAGGTGTTCAGGCATCTCCAGGAAAGCAGACTCCATCACACATAAAGGTGACTTGGGAAGACAGACACCATCACTTCAAATGTCTTCCACCTTTCCTCTTCTCCCCCCCAGCTTTATATGCTAGGTTATTTCATATATAACATCATATGGTATGGGATATCCCTTGGATCAGTTGGGGTCAGCTGTCCTAGTTGTGTCCTCTCTCAACTCCCTGTGCACCCTCAGTCTACTTGATGATGGGGTGGGGTGAGGAGAGGAGCAGAAAGGCCTTGGCTCTGTGTAGGCACTGCTCAGCAGCAATGAAAACATTCCTGAATTATCAACACTGTTTCCAGCACAAATCCAAAACACAGCCCCATACCGGCTATTCAGCCCAAACTAGCACAGAGCTGTCAAAACAGAAAATGGACTTTTATTTCAGCTGGTATCAGATTTTCATCCATGTGATGAAATATCACCCTTTTGTTTAGTCCATGTGCCTCTCTTTTTATTCATTGCCCTGAAGATTTTGGCAGTAAGCAGGATGCAGAATTGTATATTTAATAAGGCAAAGTTGCCTAAGATGCAGACGTTAATAACCATTTGGAAATAGTAAGATTGTGTGGCTAATATTAAAAAAGTAACAAGCTGGCTCCATAAAAGCCAGTAAAAATATGACTGTTGACTTCAAAGAACTTTGAACAATTTTGCAAACAAAACAGCATGGGCTGCATTAACACTCCATTAAGCAGTTTTCTTCCCCTGCCTTTCCCTGACTTTAATTAGAGCACTAGATTTCAGAGATGACAGCATCAAGAACGTTAAAATGACCAGGGTCTTACCAACTTTGTTCTTTCAAATGAAACTATACAATAGGCTGCCATCTAGGTAAACTAGACCCATTTTCAATTTTTACTTAAACTCCTGTGGATTCTGTAATGCAGTCCCTGGGTATGTACTTGACTGGGATTGTACAACTCCTTTCTACTTTTTTCATTGTTAATGAAAAAAACAATCAGATCGCAAGTCTTTCTACCTGTTACTGGGACATGACTGCACCCCTCCTGCTGCAAAAGGTGTTTATATAGGTGCACTGAACAAGGTGATTTAAAAAAACCCTAAAAAACAAAACCAAAACCCATCCAGAGATGGCTGCAACGCACTGGCAGTGTTGAGGATGGCCCTGCCCATCAATGAGGATGGCCCTGTCCAACATTTAGTCGTTGATGGAAAAAAGGAGAGACCAGGACAGGCAGTGCATGCAGAGGAGCACACAATCTCTGACAGTCACCTGGCACTGCGTATTTGCTCCCTAGGGCTTACCGACAGCTTTGGTCCTATAGCTGGGCAGAAAATAGTGAGATTCATAGTGGGACTAATGGGAACGGGACAATGTAAGGAACATAAGCTAAAAAGACTGAGGACTTCAGCCTTCTCTAGTAAGTCTGTCTGGAAGAGCTATTCAGTTTTTCTACAGGTTTGTTCTTAAAGACGAAATTATCTTCCATATAGTAACTGGGTTTTAGAAGCTTTATGTATGATGTCATGCCCAAAATAAAGGTACCATTTTCCCATACTAGAGGCATATTATGAAACTGCTTTTATTTGGTATGATGCAATACTTACCTGTAAGACCAGCAGCTTCTGCTGACAAGAAGGCACTCCAGGACAGGAGGAAAAACAGACCTGTTTCCAACATAGGAAATTCACACAGCTTTGTAAATTTTGTCAAGTGCTAAAAGATTACTAAGGAAGAATAAAATCCCAAATGTTTTGTAAGTGAAAATTGCCCCCAACCTGATGAAGGATGAAAGAAAGCAAGCTACCCCCCTACACCACCTATCCATGTTGAGTTCAGGAAAAACTGCACACCTTCTAAATTATCTTAAAGAGGAAAATCCAGTGGAGGTTTTAAACAGGTGAATTCTAAAAGTCAGCTATTTCAAGTACTTTTGTGAGTTTTGAATTAATACGTCACTGGTTGCATTTGATATTCTTTGCACAGGTAAAAGGGAAAAGTAAGTAATTTTTTTCCAGTTTTGTAAACAAACTGGCATTTATTTACCTTTGCATCAATGCAAGAAACATGAAAATCACTGCTCTTTCCACAGTTGTATTTTACAGTAAAAATGCAGGACAACAGATATGCCTTTTATTTCTAACTTAGATAAACTGACAATCTGGATTTGTAGTCTAGTGTTTTAACCTCAAAGTACTTCAAAACACTTCCCTAAAAATTTAATTATTTAGAAATAGTAAAATAAAGACCAGAGTCTTGCCTAATGTTGAAAAAAAAATTCTTTGTGGCTTCTGACAAATGAACTTTCCTGGCAATTTATGATTTCATGATTTGTTTGAGAAGTCTTGAATCACCAGAGGAAAGGTTAAGTCTCAAACTAAGGATGTTCAGTCTTAGACATCACACATTTTTTTGAGCATCTATAGATTTTCTCTCTGAAAACAAACCATAAAGGATATTAAAGCTGTGACAATAGCATAAGAAGATCCCATGGCAAATGATCCAGCAAAGATTCCCAGGAAATTTCCCACTGACTGGAAGAAAGCAGCAGCATCAAACGTGTTAGGATTCTCCTTAGGACTGTAAATGGATATGGAGCTGAAAAGAAAATGAAGGGATGGGGGAGAGGGAGAGAAAAGGGAATAATTAAGTCAATCACATTGCTATGATTTTGGAATGAATAATTGAAAATGGACATCTTAGGGACTCAAAATGCAAAACAAGGCATCTCTCAAGGCTTCTTGTCTCTCTTAATGCATAATGGCAGATTTGAGAGAGAAGCAGATGGAGACTAAGGGGGTGGATGGACCAGTTTATTTTCAAGGTATCACAGTGGAAATCAGTAATCTATTGCCAGTCAGTAAACATTTTTGTTTTAGAAGTGCCATAAAAATATTGTTTCTAGGCCAACTAAACATGAAAAGGTGGTAGGTGTATAAGAAAATTGCAGGGAACATAAATAACTTTGAATTATTTATTGGTCATATGTCTTCAGAGCAGTTATATATTCACAAATATTCTTGATAAAAAGTGCAGCTTTATGGCTGAGGCTCAAATGGGTGACACAAATCACAGTAGGTACCAAATCTGCACAGCAATCTTGTCATAAACGATCTAATAGTTCCCTTCTTGATATAAATAGAGCTTCATAAATAGAGCTGAAACCCTATCAAGAGCTCACCAGTAGTAAACCTTGTGGGCAGAAGGAACGTTGTCCCACAGAAAGAAACTGCTGCAGTTGGCAAAGGTCACCTTCTGTATCCCAGTCCTGGGTACAGCCATTAAGAGAGAGTACTTCTGAACAGGAAATGATGCTACCAAAGGGAAGGGTGTGCACTAAAGCATTTTTCAGTTTCAGAGCTGTTACTTGCCTCTAGTCAGCTATTGCCTAGAATACTAGTAACACAAAGTATGTATGCCTTTTTTTTCTTGTCAAAACATTAAATTTAACAGACACAAAATAGTTCTAAGCCTCCCAAACTAATTGAGCAACATTTTAGATCTTTGTGGTTCTGTTGCTTTCAGTACTGTAGGTCTTTTATGTTTGTTGTCAAAGAAAATGTAGTCAGCTTGGCACTGGATTCCAGAAAGCAGCTTGGATTGCTGGAAAATGATTGGTATTTTAAGCATTAAAAATTTAGAATCTTAAAAATGGTTTGAATATTTTAAACTCTTGCATATTAAGACTCTGATCCCTGGAGTCTGATGTCTTCCATCTGGAGATGAGATTTGGAGATGAAGCTCTGTATGGAGGATTTTCTAAAAAGTTGCATTAATTTAGGAATTCATTTAGGAATGATGAAGACATGTGAAAACAGATCTTATGCTTTCAGTCTGTAAAAAAGGCACAAGGATGCTAAAGGCATATGATGGAGCACTACTAAAAATGACTGGTGAATATTTATCCTCTACAACAGTGTCCTGGGGGGAGAATGGGGGAGTGAGAGAGCAGCTGCATGGTTCTGAGCTACTGGCTGGGCTTAAACCACAACAAACAGAAATTACATAGCACCAAAATCTGGTATCTCCAGTTACGCTGATTAGCACCACTACAAAAAGTAGTGAGATGATTTGTAGCAGAAAGTGCTATTAATATAAGTACATAAAATATGTTTCCCAGAGGAAATGCTAATTAACAACATGTTCTATCTAAATTCTCAGCCCTCTTTCAATTGTGACTCTCTCAGATCAGGGGTCAGTTCTAATTCTTTGCTTTTCTTGCCTTCAGATGATTCTTGAAATGTTTATTGTCTCTGTCCTACTCAAAATGTATTGCAGAAGATCCCATATGAAATAAAGAATTGTATTAAGTCATAGATACATTCTGTAAACTGATGGAATAGTTTTATCAAAGGAAATGCTATCAGCTGTGAAACTGTATCTTTGCAGTCTAATTTACTGAGTGTATTTTGTGTACTTAGGGAGGGCTTTGGTTTAGTCAGTTATTTAAAGTTGAAACTATTTGGTAGCGTAGCTGGAACTGTAATACCTAAAACTTTTAGGCGTGTCTTGACCACAAAGCAGCCACTTCGTTCTCTGATTTGCCCCAAATAAGTATACAGCTGCTGTTCTGTATTACTTAGTGAATTATAAATCCAGAAATGATCTGTTGTGCCACAGGTGCTGCTGCAAGTATTGAGTGGTGAATTCAGAGAGGTCAACTTGACTACATTGTAAGATCAAGGAAAATTTATTCTATTATATTGATGGGCTCTGCCTATGGAAGGGATGCTCAGTAATAAGAGAAAAAACAAACAAATAAAAAACCCAAAACCAAAAAAAACCACCCCCGGCTTGATACGGAGTAAAAGTTTAGTAGTCAAATGTAAGCCATAGTCATTAACTGACTTTATATTATATACTTAATATAAAGTTAAGATACTTCATATGAAGTAAGTTAACCTTAAGGCAAGGAAAGTTGACTTTGTTAAGACCAGTTAGAGTTCCAGTTTGCTCTCCAGTTTAGCAACATCTTTCAGGTATGGAGAAAACAAGAAGAAAGCATCCTATTCCTAATGTAGCTATTTCAGGAACAAATATGAAGTGATTCATTCTCACTGGGAAAATTTTCTACTCAATATACCCCCAAACCCCATGATTTTTTAAAAGCATCATAACACAACATATGCTCATTATGCTAACTGTGGTTTCTGGTCTAAATCTTTCCAGAACCCAGGCTTCCCTGCAGCTCAAAGAGTATTTAGTTCTATTTTTCATTTTGCATTGTTCTGTACTAGAGCTATAATTTCTTGTTCTAAATATGTTTCTTCTTTAACACTAACTTTTAACCCTTTCAACCATCTAAAATACATACTAATTTACCTGATAATTTTTATATATATGCTGTATTTCAACAGTACTTCCTGCCAAGCCAATTATTTGATCTAAAACCAAAATTACAGAGTTTAACACTAGAAAGAACCATAATTAAAAGTAAAGTGCCTCTACTCTTCTTTTCCTCAGAGAGCAATTCAAGAAACATGCTGCATGACTTGCCATTTCTGCTACCTGTGCCTGAGACAAAAGGGGCTTATCACAGTTCATTAACAAGCAGTATGTCAGAGTTTGATACTAAATTTGAAACGGTATTTAGTTTTTAACTATTAGGGGCTAATCGTTGACCTAGTATAAGAAAAAGGTGGGTTTATTGCCCTAAATTTGTATCGGAGTTGGATTAAGCAAATCCTGAATATAAATGCAGTAGGAAATTATTTTCAAAGATTGATAAATGAACAGAACTAATAAAAAGTTATGCTTTATTGGCCACCCATTATGATATAGAGTGGAGGGGTAGGAATAAAAGGTTTTTTGTTGGTTCCTCACTGAATGCTTGACTGACATATCTCACAACACCTGCCCCAGTCCCTACTGTCTATGTGTAAGTTTGGTTACCTCTGTCTCTCCTTGAGGTTGGAGCTACGGATACTACTTAGGTCCTTTGCTGGTTCTTATAGGGATTATCCTGCACTTTCTATATTAGAAAACTATTTAACAGGTCCCTTTTTCTTTCCAGTTCTTCTGTGCTTCCTTGACCAAATAACAGTGGACAGGGTTAAGTGCTTTCCTAGCTTTTATAAAAAGGAAATCTAGGCAATATGTATTTATACAACAAATTGCAAGTTAGGCTGGTAGCTTTTGCTTGAAACAGAAAGAAGGATTAACAGCTTGTGTCAGTTTTACCATGCGGATGATTCCGTTTCTTTCCTCTCTCATCTGTTGAGATCATTTTAGGATGAAAGCTCAGCATGATGAAGAATGTTTCTTTCTATGGACTTCTATAGTGATATCATACTAAAGGTCTCCATGACAAGCAGAAGTGCTATTGCAATAGAAAGTATGCAGTCATGTTTCCAGTTACATCTTAATTGGTTACTTTTTACATCTTCAGTTATGCTTAAGGAAAATATCATTTATTCATAAAATCTGTTTCTTCCTGTATCTTTTTTTTCCTATAAGTTTTCCCAGCCTGTGAATATAGCACAAACAACTTTTCATCTTTAGAAAGAAGATTTCTTTCCATTTGCCAAGTCTAAGAGCTTCCTTTTGCCCAGTGACCTATTTGCCATACTATCATGCACCACATAATATTGCACAGAGAAGGATCAGAAACAATCTAAAACAAATAAAAAAAAATTTCATATCCGAAATTACAAGAAGGTCACATATTCCTTAAAATAACTTCACTGAATGAAGTGGGATCTCCCTCAGGTGCTGAATAATTATAGGACTACACGGTGATTTCATCAGCTTCTAATTAAGAAAAATAAAGCAGGCCAGGAAAAAATATTCAGAAGTTCAAGGTTATTTTTAAGAGGGGAAGAAGGTTACTTTTTCCTGACGTCATATAGAAAATGGCAGGTCACTACGTTAGAAAACTTGGAGCTTTCAGAGAAGTGGATTGAACTAAACAATTTCTGTTCCCACACAACTTTTTAACTACGTATTTCCCTAAAAGTGTTGGAAGAAAGACGAAAGGACTGAACTACAATTTTCCCCAGAATGTAAGTGTTTGAGCTAGAAGTCAGATGTGAAAGTTCAAGTATAGCGCCTGACACCTACACCTTCTCTTGACAAGTTAGATGTTGGTAAAGGCTTTCTCATAAAACAGCTTCTCACACAGTAAGTGTAAGTAGATGAGCTATAAAAATAAAAACAAATAAAAGAAGTTTGGGATGTGCGCTAAGTCAACAAAAGCAAATATGAAGTAGAGAAGGTTTGCAGACAATTAAGGGAGAGCAAAGAGACACGATAGTGCAGGAAGACTTCAGGACTAGTAAAAGCAGCCAGCTGTAGCAGTAGTTTGAGGCAAATTATATAGAGAACCTCTAGATGAAAATTTCCCACAACAAACTCACTGTCAGATGTGTTTAAAACACTGATCAGTAAGCAACACAAATGCACAGAAGGTGCAATGAAATAACATAGATGAGTTCTCTGTACATCTTTCTGCATAAAGAAATCTGTCTCCCTGGAATTAATTCCTGACAGTATTTGCAAATGTTTAGAGATTTAAGGCTTCAGAAACATGGATTTCACAGAAATACACATATTAAACTTTCTATTCATATGTGTATAAGAACTGCAAAACAAAAAAGTTA